CAGACATATCGTTTGGTGTTAAGGCCAAATAATTCAATTTTAGTCTCATCTGCCTTAGAATCTTAAGGTGTGTTTTGGCAAAGCTCAGTCGTGACTGACCATTTTTTCTTGAAGTCCTCCCATACAAGCCAGATTTGTGGAGAATTTGTGATATTGTTGTCACATGCACACAATGACCACTCTTTGTCATAAATTCCTGCAGCTGCTTCAGTGATGCTGTAGGCCTCTTGGTAGCCTCTCTGACCAGTTTCCTCCTGGCTCTTTCATCAGTTTGGAGCGATATCCTGATCCAGGGAGGCTCTGTGTTGTACCAAATACCTTCCACTTCTTAATGATAGACTCCACTGTGCTTCTAGACATTGATAAAGCCTTTGAAATGTTTTTGTATCCATCTCCTGACTTGTGTCTGTCCACAGCTTTATCCCAGAGATCTTTTGACAGTGCCTTGGCACCCATTGTTGATTGTTTGCTTCAGTTGCACTACCCTGGACTGAAATTCTCCAGAAAAGCTTTTTTCATGCTGAGCTGATCAAAATGACCACAGCTGATCACATCTGAAAGTCTTGACTTGTCAAGGGGTGATCCTTTTACCAACTCAGTGATTCTGGTTTTTCATAGCATCTTAATGCATAATTTATAAATTATATAAAAAAAAAAAGTAAGGCATAAACTAAATTAGTTACATTACATAGTTATATTTTATACATTGTAATAAAAATAATATAATATCATATAAAATAATTGTATATTTGTACATATTTAAAATTTTTATATATTATATCCATATCATCTTAATCCATAATATAAAAATTATATATACACACATTTAATAAGAGGAAATGAACTTTACAGGCAGTAGAAATGAAATAAGTTGATCTCTGCTTCCTGTTGAAGGAAAAGGATGTGGATCTGACCGATGCATTAAAAATTCATTTGGCTTTCAGACTGTACACACACACACACAGAGAGAAAAGAAAAACACACGCTAGTGTTCAGCTGTTTCAGACCCTCATCTGAATCACCTGGCAGGGGTGTGATTCTTTATATTGAACATTAATATGAATGAGACACTTTGGAACAGATTGCTTTTTCGTGGAGCCTCGTTTCCGTGTACTTGCATAGACATTGATGGGACTTTTATTTATGCAGGCAAACAAATGTGTATATTTTTCGTTTCTATTCGGTATAACACCCTCCCCTAGTTGACTTGGATGTAGTTCCTTGTATATGTGCGTCAAGTTTTGTGAAGTGGAACAATGAAATTTCCGTCTTTTCCTCACACAAAGCTGTCATATGACTGCAGAAGGATATAGTCGGATACATTTTTTATGACAATTTTCCTTTAAGAAACTCAAAAACAGCAGGTGAATAAATCACACACCGTCTGTCACTAGGAAGGTGACAGTCAGCAGGAAAAGTGTGAGAGACAAAAATTGCTGGGCATTTTAAAATGAAAAGGTCGTCCAGTCCAGACTGAATGAGAGTGAATAAATGGGTGAATGAAACCTAATTTGTATAATTCAAATCTAATTCATTTGTTAAGTTTGTTATTTTATAGCACACTATGATTTCTGTGATACGGAAAGTGCGGACAGAATTGCGGAATCCAGTTTTAAAAATGGAAATTTGCTTTAGCAAATT